ACATATTCTTTTGTGAAAACATAATTTTCAGAAGCGATGGAAAATAACATACGCAAACTTTTTTTGGGGTTTCTTTGAACCTTGCCATTGACCTTGTGAAGCCTTTCGATATGTCCTATGTTAGAACAACAAAATATTGCGTGTAACACATCAGATTTGCACAAGTCCATTGAACGATCGACACGTGTCTCTCACTGGACCCACTGTAAGAACATTTTGAAAATCCCTTTGAAAGTCTCTCTCTCCCCTCGAGAAAATATTGCATGCAATAGTGACGCCACATCAGATTTGCACAAGTCCATTAAATGATGCACACAAATATTTTCTCATGTTAGAACTAGGGGTGATGCAATGCTGAAACACTTGTTTCTATCCTACAGATATATAGTATATTTTCCTTCGGAAAATTAAACGAAGTGAACGAGATATAGAAAACTAAAATTGGACTTCACTAGCACTAAGAAGGTTTATAAAAGTTTAATTTCTTAAAAGTGAAAAATTTGCCCCTTCATATGATATTATCTGAAAGAATCGACTCACTATCCCACTTCTTTAGACACCCATCAGAATTGAAAGTATAATTCACCTCACTTACCGAAATCATATAAAGTATACACTAAGGCCATGAAATGAAATTGCAACTGCACTTTTTGACAGTTGAATATTTCCTTTACTATTCACACATTTTTCACTGCAGGAGAGACAGCTTCATCACCCACCGCGCCTTCTGCGACGCGCTCGCTGAAGAGAACAACAAGGTGAACCAAGGCCTCCACCAACAGATGCCTAACCATGACCTCATGCCCTCATCAATGCCCATGATCAACACAACCAACTCCTCCAACTCGCCCATGTTCCTCAACGACTTCAATGCCACATTCGATTCGAAAAACCCCCTCAAGTCCCTCCCCCAAGACCTCGTCCCCTTGCCCTTCAAGCCCAACACGAGCAACCTCAGCAGCATGAGCATGATGTCGCCTCCTGGCATGTTCTCGACGACCTCAGGCACGCTCTTCGGTGGCCCGAGGGGTGCTGCCATCTCCTCCTCCTCCTCGAGCCTCCAGCTCAGTTCCAACACCTCATCCGGTGGCTTCAACTACCTCCAAGAAGCAAAGGCAGGTGGTGGTGGCCTGCTGGCAGCAGGCGGTGCCTCCTCAGCCCACATGTCAGCAACTGCACTGCTGCAGAAGGCGGCCCAGATGGGCGCGACCGCGAGCAACAGCATCAACTCACCCATGATGCACCAGAAGAGCTTCATGGCAGGACCTGACCAGCAACAGCAACAGCAACAGCCACAACTCATCCCAACCAGCTCTGCTCCTCCTCTTCCCATCAGACCGCCGCCATTGATGTCACAGTACAGCGTCAGCAATGTCCCGCATCAGCATCACAGTAACAACGTGCACACGGCTTCATTCAACCATCATCCGCATCATGGGTTCCAGTCGCCACCGCCCCACCCTGAACAGTTCAACCAGCTCCTGCAGAAGAGCAACCCACACGACCACCACCACAGCCCAATGCCGCATGTCATCGAGAGTACTAATGCAATGATGAGTGCCGAAATGGGCATGTTCAGGAGCATGTTCGTAATGGGCACAGATCATCATAACATGAAGAGTCCTCCTAGTGGGGTGGTGGATCATGAAGACAGTAGCTTGACGAGCTTCGGGCAAGGAAGGACCCCGTCAGACAAGAATGTTCCGATAGGACCAACAACGTTCGGAGGGAATAGTAATAACAATAACAGCAGTAGCAATAGTAAGAACGATGGCGTGACGACGCTCGATTTTTTGGGGCTTGGAGGGTCGCGACACTTGGGGAATTTACATGAACAGCAACATCAGCAGAGAATGGAGATGGAGGGGATGAGCCAGCAGAGATTGCCTGCAATGATGGGTCATTTTGCTCAGCAGCTCTCTCATGGCGATTCAGCAATGGAGAAACCAATATGGGATGCTTGATTATTTCACAAGGAGGAGGAGGAGGAGGCGGAGGAGAGTTGGTTGTTCTTTTGTACTGTGGTGCGTATTCCTAAAAACTTTGTGTTTGTTAGAAAAGATAGAATGCATAAGCATCTTTGAGAGTACTTGATTAAAGGGACAGAAAAGTTTGGTAATCAAAAGGACTGCGATGACTGTTGGTTGTATTAATTTTTTAACGCGTTATCTTACTCAAGCACATTTACCATGTAGTTAAAATTTTTAATTAAGTGAACCAGAGCGATTTGCACGCAATTGATGGAATTCAAATGGGTGATGATCCTTGAGTTGAAAATCCCCAAATACCCCAACAAATCGCGTCGATACTAAAGGGCGCCTACATATCAATTAATGTGAGGTGTTTGGATAAATTGAACTTGTGGAAGGTCGAAATAATTAATATTCATAAAACGTGCACTATATTCATTCCGTATACGAAATGCGTTTGAGTTGGTAGCTATTAACTTAGATATGGGCAATGTAACAAAGAGCTTTGATTTGTGTATGTTCAAAGACCATACTTATGCACGTTGCCCTTTCTTATGACATAGACAATGATTATGGCATGCATTGTCTTTGGAAGTTGCACAGAAACACTAGTTTTGAAGCATTACTTTACTATGACTTTAGACCAGATTCTATCATGATTTCAAGTGGCAACAAGTATCCATTCATTGCTTGCCATAAGAGAAAAGGAGGAAAAAAAAAATCGACAGAATTGTTTCAAGAAAGATTAAAAACTTCGTTTTGGTTAAAGTTCATTGCTCCAGTGTCTCTATTGAACTCATGTAAGCATGTCGCAACCCGCAATCCGAGTTGAAGGACATGCCTTGTATACCAGAAAGACCTTATGCATAATAAATCTAGTTGAAAAGTTAAATGTCATGATGCATCTTGTCGAGAATTAATTGCGACATAATTATATATCAGTGATACACAAGCTATGATGTTTACCATTTAGTTGCGAATTCATGTCTACGGCAAAAATTGTCCAAAAAATTCTAAACCTATTGCACTTTTGTCAATTTAGTTCTAAAACTTGTTACAAAAATGCGTTTGAGTCCTAAAACTTGCAAAAAGTTCATTTGAGTCCTAAAACTTGTCAAAATAATTCATTTGAGTCCTAAAGTTAACCCCGTTAGATTTACTAACGGAAAATGCTGATGTGGCGCTGACGTGTCATTTTTAATTATTTTCTTGAGACACGTGGCGCCACGTCAGCAAAAATAAAAATAAAAATAGAAAAAGCTGAAAAAAAAAACAAAAAAAAAAAACCAAAAAAGGAAAAAAAATAAAAGAACCGGCGGTGGCCAGCCGGCGGCCACCACCGTGGCGAAGCCCGGCGGCCGGGAAGGACCGGCGGAGGTCGCCGGGCCTTCCCGAAGCCTGGTGGCGGGAAGGACGGCGAGGTCGCACGGGCCTTCCCGAAGCCCGGCGACCCTCGCCCGGCCCGGCGAGTCCCGCGACCCTCGCTCGATCGCGGGGCGAGGTCGCGCCTCCTCGAGTCGAGGGTCCCGGTGAGGGTCGGCGACTCTCGATCGAGGGAGGGCGCGACCTCGCCCGATGAGCGAGTGCGGCTCCGGGCAGAGGTCGCCGCCGGAAGGCCGCGCTGCACTTATCATTTTTTAATAATTTTTTTTTTTTTTCAGCTTTTTCTATTTTTTTTATTTTGCTGACGTGGCGCCACGTGTCTCAAGAAAAATAATTAAAAATGACACGTCGCGCAAGTCAGCATTTTCCGTTAGTAAATCTAACGGTGTTAACTTTAGGACTCAAATGAACTATTTTGACAAGTTTTAGGACTCAAATGAACTTTTGCAAGTTTTAGGACTCAACGCACTTTTGTGACAAGTTTTAGGACTTGTAGTGCACTTATCCTTTACCATTTAGTTGCGAATTCATGTCTACGGCAAAATTGTCCAAAAAATTCTAAACCTATTGCACTTTTGTCAATTTAGTTCTAAACTTTCAATTTTGCCAATTAAATCATAGACTTTTCACGTTTGTCAATTGAGTCCATCGGACCAATTTTTTCCGAATCTCGACATGGATGCCTCTTGTCCTACGTGACTACGTGATACGAATCGACCGACAACGATGTGGACAATTTTATTATTTTTTAATAGTTTTTTAATTTTTTTCTTTAAAAAACAGAAAAGATTTTAAATTTTAAAAATAATTATAAAAAATTATCCACATTAGCATCGGCCGTACTATGTGCCGCTACTGGCATCCACGTTAGTGATTTCCGGTTAAAATTGGCAGAATGGACTCAATTGACAAAACGTGAAAAGGTTTAAGATTCAATTGGCAAAATTGAAAGGTATATGACTGAATTGGCAAAATTGCAATAGATTTAAGACTTTTTAGATAATTTTCTCTTTACTACGTACTATGGGTCAAACAACTGCAGAACTAAATTTTTCGAGGATTTTTTTTTTTAAGAAATTCTTTCGGACATGAATCTTCTCATCCTACCAAACCAGCAAATTCGCTATTAAGATCATACTTGGTAGAAATTATTATCCGATTCTGATCTAGATGTATCATGATTCGAGTTGATAAATAGATTCTCTCGATTTCCTTCCCCAAGTTCAATCAATTCGATTCCACTGGACGGGGACCAGGCATGCCATCGTGGCGATCCAAAACATGAAAGTTCAGCTAGACCAGAGGCCCAGCTCTCGAAGCAAACAAGGCCCAAGGCCTTTTTAGTCTATCTATAGCAGAAGTGATCAAGGATCTTCCGATGTCATGGAGATTTCTTCAGATCAGTCATATCAAGTTACTTTGTATGATCAGCTGGGTCCCAGAATGTACAATGAAATGACCCTTTTTCTTCTCAAAAATTAATAAAATATCCGATTAATGGTCAGTTGACTTGCAGCTTATGGCGCTGTTCCAATAAAAATTCAATCTTTACAAGGCCCATCAGATTTTTTTCAACCTCAAACCTCCCACATCCACCCTCAGCTTCAACCCAACCTCGACCCTTTTTGAGTTTTCTATTTTCACAGGTTACAACACTAACACCAACCGCTGATCTTGTGCGTTGTTGGTGTCTGATCGTTCAGATCTTGTCCCTCACACACTGAATGTATCAAAAATTTCAATTTGTGCACATCTTCCTGATTCTGGACCAGGTTTCGGTTTTCTTATGCTTGTTCATCGGTCAACCCTGGGGAACTTGAGCCCGTCAAAAAGTCCCGAGACAACATGAATGTCCCCACAACTCATTGTCTCCAGTCTCGCTGCCACCTGCCTCCATGCCTGTTATAGTCCCTGTTATGGTCCCAGTACCCGGAGGAGCTCCCCTGCCTCGAACTCTCCGGCGGCCCAGAAAACCGATCAGGAACTGCTCTCGTCTCCGGGGCGTTCCTTCCAGGTGGATACCTCGTCGGGCTGTTTTCCTGGCTCCAAGATTCAAAATCCTCCCGGGCATAGTTATTTCTTTCGTAGGGAGCCCGAGACGAGGCATTAAAATTAGATTGGTTAGGTTGAGAATAAGAATGAGGGTGACTATACTGATGAGTCATCTCCCGTCCACCTCCCCACGAAGAATTCGTGTCTGCGGATGGACCGGGACCACCAGGGTACGATGATGAGTGCACCCGCTGCATCGGCTGCAGCTGTAGCGACGTGACCGCCGAATATGGAAGCGAATGCATCGCCCTTTTTCCTGTCGAACTCAGATTCAGTACTCCGTTCATGGGAGCAAAGGCTTCCTGGGCTTGCGATTGAACAGCTGCGGACTCGACAGGAATTCTATGTTGGAGAGATGGGGCCATCATCGAATGCGCATGAACTTGACTTGATTGAGACAGCGAGCTTTGGACAGTTCTCGCTTCTTGTTGAAGCGTAACAGGAAAACTGGAGGCATGTCCTTGGAAAATTCCTGATGTGCTCGCTGCTGCCGAAGATGAAGCGTGCCTAGAAAACGGATTCTTCACAGCAGCTGCTGCCCAAGCACCCTGCAAAAATCATCAAACAGGGAAAAGGAAGGGTGTCACTTTGCTATTTTTGGTAATTATTTGTCCAGTATTACTCCCATATAGAAAGAATTACGAAATATCTGTCGTAATTTTAACGTCGATGCTATGCCACTCCACTACAACAATCCGAGGTGGCGAATTTTCAGCGTTAAGAACTTTGTCCTGACCCATCTCCTATGGTACAGTTTTCTTGTACATGGGAGAGGTGGGACCCATTCTTTTGAGAGAGACAGTAAGGGAGGGAGTAATTTCTTCAGTCATCACCGTAGGGGGGATGGTCTCTCAAACCAACGTGAAATAGTGCCCCACATGACAAATCCCACGGTGGAACCCCCGTTTTTTCTATCTGAGGCATTCATTTTCACAAATTCAAAACTTGGAGCCCAGAAAAGGAAGAAGAAGATGAATTCATTTCGTTGATTCCTTTTAGTCGTACGTGTGGTTTTCAATAGCATCACTCCCACTGGCCCAATGGGGTAACGAGAGCAGCAGAAATCGCGCGTCAGCGAGAGTCCTAGTGTCATAGTGCAGTAAAAACCTAGGTCACGCACCGTTACAGGAGGATTGCTGGAAGGCGTCGGGGATGGGAGGGACACTTCAACCCTCCCTTCTATTCTGCCACCCATGCCAGCGCCGACACCCAGTCCATTCAAATTCCCAGCAACTAAATTAGCCGCTCCACCTCCGGCCTTAATCATATCGAGAAGTCTCACTGTATCCGTGCTCGATAAGTTCCCGGCTCCCCCCGAGGTCAGCGCAAAAACAATCTCCGGGTTCTTGAGCAGCACAGCCAGCAACTCAAGATCGGGCTCTGCTGCAGCAGGGTTACTGTTTTGTGACGTCGAAGACAATCCTGCTCTTGCGTTTTCATTAGAAGGAACCTGCGTTTCTGGGACGACATCGGCATCAGGTAACTGTTCAATCGAAATCACTGGTGTTAGCGAGTCATCATAGTCCATCTCGCGGTCCCACGGCTCTTTGGGATTGGGGGGTATCTCTTGGACTGTCCTGTAGATAGTCTCTTTCTCGCGGCGATTCCTGTTTTTCTGGAATTCAACTTCTTTGCTATCCTCACCTCCACCCACCCTCCACTGATCGTTCAGTTTTACTTCTGCATAATAAACCAGTGCATGGGTTAAAGGGATACAATTTTATAGTTGAAAATAGATAACAATATATCTAACTAACGGCCCAAAATGTTTTGTGTAGTCTTATTTTCACAATGACAGATCTTGAAAGTAAGCCGTCGGCTATGCTGCTTTCCTGCACTCTGTCAAAGTTGCAAAACCCCAGAACCATCAAATCAACTTACTCAGCTCATCTCCCAGGACAATGAGCGAAAACATGATCAACAATTATGGTATTGCAATTGCCCATTACTTCACATATATCTCAAACCATCAAGTATTTGCCCGAAGAAACTAAGGACAGTAAAAGGAAAGTGACTTGTTATGTCGAGAGGGTGCTCATTAAATGTCCTGTTACCTGATGAAAAAAGAGAAATATACCCACATCATCTACTACTCTATCACGTCGTGAATGCATTGGGAGTGCAATTGCCCATCACTTCACATATATCTCAAACCAATCAAATCTCACATCAACGTGCTTGCTCAGTGCAGTCATCCTCTGCATTTGGTTCTTTTTTATGGTAATAAATTTGTATATCTCCTGTTGAACATACCACTGTAATGTTCAACCAAGTGGAATTGTACATTTTCGTGATCTAAAAGTGATCTCTATTTATATTTGCAAGTCAGATGTTGAAGCACCACCGTCTCATCAGGCAACACTCTCAGATTAATTGCAATCAGGAACCTCTCAGAAAGTCATTGCATAGTGAGGGAAAAAAGGACTGTCCAGGAGATCCGGATGTTAATATCACGTTCTGGCGCAAAAAGTTAATCGTTGAAAAGAATCAGAGTTGTTTCATTCCATTTTGCTCACCAGAATTGTTTCATTCCACATTGCTCACGCACAATTGCGCCAAACATAGATTTCAGCTTCAATTAGCATAATTATCTTAATCCATGCTATTATCAAATTTACGCAACAACAGCATAAATTTCACTTCCACACGCCATTCTTGAATCGATACAGGGTCAACGACACATAGTCAGCAGGCAACAGAGCCCATTCCATCTACTGATAAGAATCAATTGGAAATTCTAGTTTTTGAGTCAAATGGTCCAGCAAATGGGTGGAAGTGAAGGAGCCAAACTGAGTTACATTGGTAATTACAGGTGCATTTATTAGACAAGACAACGTTCTCCAATGTGTCAAGCAGATATGCAGGAAAAACTTATTAGGATGTCCAGGAGTTATCACTTCACAGAGTCACCCTACATGAAACTTAGCAAACTCTTGGTTATGTTAGCACCTGTTCACTTGCAAGCTTTGGGATACATTTTAACTCGAGATATTAAGAGTACTAAACAAGCATAGATCTCAAACCGTAGTGCACAACATTACCTTGATCCACCAAATTTTTTGAAAACGGAGGATCCTAGAAGTGCCATCCCAAGTGGTTAGTTCTAAACATCAAAAAGATAATTTCACAACGTTCTTTCTCCATATTACTCCACTAAATTTCGACCAAAAAAAAAAAAAACTCCACTAAATGACAAGAAAAAGTGAATATACAATTGACTGACCACTTCTCATGTCTTGTAAAAGAGACAAATCACATCACATAGATTACTCCTGTTCTGTCTCTATGGTTAAAGGAAAATACTGAAAATGATAACATCGTCAGTTGCAGGCTAGCTAGCAAATCACTGTTTGTAAGGAAAACCCAAACCAGACCTGCAGCATCCTCTCAGTTAATCAACATTTCACAATTCCCAGACTATATTTATGGTCCTCAACATACTATTGCAGCAAGTCAGAAAAACCAAGAAAGGCTCTTGAACAACAAGATTACCTGCCGGTCTCTTCCAGGGGATCCAAACCCTCTTACAGTCCTCCAATACAGTCTCCCTTGAATCCAAATTGGTCTTTGGAAAAGACATATCAAGCTTACGAGGAGCTTCAGAGGGCATCACATTATTTTGTTCAACACCTTCAGACTGAACATGTACTGTAGCTGCTGGAGGCACATTGACTGTCTTAGTAATCGAAGCTTTAACAGAACTTTCAGTTTTTATTTCATTACTCTCATTACAAGAGGACCCGCTCTTTCCATATTTGTTCTGCATGTGCAGTGCCCGCATTTTTGCCTTCTGAATGTCATCAACAGACATTGGACGACTACGGCTAACAGAAACCACTTTGGAAGTCTGTGGGCTTCTGCCAGCCATTTTCTGGCCAGGCTGTTCCACCATCTGCACTTTCCTGCGCTCTCTATTTTCTGATATGGGCTAAGGCAGCAACTACAGCGCATATGATACATTAATTCGAGCAAACAATGGTAGAAGCAAATTCAACTCTCAGACATCTTAAGATATCCTCTTATTCATTTTCCGCGCCCTAACTATCAAATTGATAAAATTAAATTGGACCCATGAAAATCATAGTCAGGCCAGAATATGACAATACCTTTACAAAGATATATTTTAAGTACAAGAAATATGGTTGAAGCGCCCACAGAGAATCCACTCAATCACTAAAAAAATCTATATTCAATTATCATCCAAGACAATTATAGTCCCATCAGTCTTAGCAAATATGACGGCATTGTGTTGCTTCTGGCCCCGTCAAAAGAAACTGCTTAGTACAAGTTTTGTAAGAACTTTTTTTTTTTCAGTTTGCAAACACTAATATTAACAATTAACAACTCCAAAATCCAAAAGTGAAATATCTGACCCGCAGCAGGATCACTTTTCCCAGAAGTTATGCCCAGTGGAATTTTCAGTCCACTGAACTGAGAACCCAGCTCCCTAATCTGAGCAGTGGGATATTCTGGCTTTAGGAGAAAAAGAAAGATGGATAACAATGGTAATGGAGACTGAGCATCCATCCCTTGGCTGAGCAATGGCCTAGGGAATATGGAAACATGTATTAGAGATATTTATCTTCCCCCATCAGTAAAGAATACCACACTGCTATGCCATCGCTAACTAGTGAACTTCTATCATCCACTTCGACAAGTAAATTGCAAAAGTTCTTTTTTTATCCTCAAAGTAAATAGAACTTAGAAAAAAAAATTCCAAAAGGATACGAGCTGAAGTTACACCAAGGATGTGTTTCCTGCTTGAATCATCTGCTGGAGCAGGCAAAAGTTTCAGTGCTTTTGAAGATTCCAACCCCCTGGTGCAAGAAATGTTGCTCAAAACACTTTCAAGACATGAAAGAACTATCGAAACTTGATCACAAGTCGCCCATACCTGGTAACCTCCAAATTTTCGCATGAAGCAAGAATCTCTTCCTGTCAACACTTAAATAGTTACTATCCTCGATATACAACTTTTAGCAAACTTAATCATATTTTAAAGAGGTACTTACAGATAAAGTGTTATCTGAATGCCATGCTTCATCACCCATGATTTCACCAAAACTGCCAAAAACAAGGTTTATAAATAGTGAGTTTCTATCTCCATAATTACAAAAGTGGATGTGACCATGAACTTGCCTCTGCTTCACCATCATTTCTTTCTGCATTGCAGTACAAGATCTCACGCCATTGGGCTTCTTATTAACCTGGGTTCGTGCAAACATTTTGCTCCATTTTGATAGCAAAGCCTTTGCCCTGTTTGATACATCTGATCTCCAAATCAGATAAATGAGTTTCAACTTCAACATGAAGAGACACATATGATACACGCATGCATTAAAATTTCGCTTAACAAGTACTTCTCACTATCTTACCATAAAAAGTGAAAATTACTTGACCCTCGACTCTTATGCAAAAAAGATACGAGAGAGAAAGGACTAGACAATCAAGCTCACAAAAAATTTACAAATGATTTTGGTCTGGTTATTAATTCGTAACCAGTTCCTCTTTAAATAGTCGAACAGCAGTTCCCTCCCCCACCCCCACCCCCACCCCCCCAAAAAAAAAGGGTTTGTGCTTGTTCACTCCCTGAGAAAAGTGAGCATCTCCACTGGAATTAATCGCATGAAATGAATAGACACAATGGCACTTTATTTGAGTAGCCAACCAATCATACAACAGTAAACCATCACAGGAACAGGTATGATGAAATGAGGAACAAACATAAGAGAGACAACAATAGAGAATGCACAAAGTGAAAATTATGAGACACTTTTGTAAGTAAACGCACACCTGATGTCCTATAAAACCGCAGTCTGTTAACAGTTTGGAGAACGGCAGACAATTGACTAGGAAGAGCTTTATGTAGGGGCAAATGAGAGAGAACCTGCAAGTGGTACAAAATAATCTTTAGCAACTTGCAATGCTTGGTGCAATTTGTTTTACAACTTCGATCATTCTCTACCTCAAGGATGATAGAAAGCACACTGGTTTGTTCTTCAGAGGCTGCTTGGCTCAACCATGTTGCCAATATCATTACACCACCTTTAGTCATAAACCTAGAAGCATGAAAAGAAGTTAAAACAAACGGAAAAATTTCTAGAAATACAGACAACAAAAGAATAGGCCAAAAATGTACCAAGACAGTACTGAAGAATTCTCTATCCGCAGAATCCACTCCATCAACTTGACCTGCCCAGAGAATGTTTCTTCTTTCCCCATAAATGTGAAGATATTTTGAAGAAACTCTTTATCAGCCTCGTCTATGCCAGGCAAGAGATCATTTTGCACAGGGCAAGGTGAGGCATCTCCAACATCAGGTGCAACAGAGTTTAATGGAAGTGGATCAACAGGTGTAGCCGTTGATGATTCAGAATTTACTGGGAGAACAACATTAGAATCTTTCGGAGCTTTCAATCTAATAGCTTTCTCCCTTGAGAGTCGTACAAACTTTCTCACTCGTGACCGTTGACTATTAAAAAAATCGCGAACCTTCAAGTACATAAAATGCAAAGAGGTAAGGGGATATATCCTAATATCAGTAATTAAAGACAAGGGCAAATTATTTTACTTATCCATCTCACTAGATTGTCAATACAAGTCACTGTTTCATTTCCAATAAGCATGAGAAGATTACATAATCTGTGTTAATGCACAGAAATCGTGAACTACTTGAAGGGTCCAAACTTCAGGCGTACAGTGAGAGTTCAATTAATTTTTAAAAAAAAGCAATTGAAGAGCCAGAAGAACTGAACGGAGAAACAACCTGAGTGACTGTGACTCCAAAAAGAGCACTGATTTCCCGAGATTCCTTCTTGCTAATTGCATCTTTAATAGAAAAAACTGATTGCATATACTTCACAGCCTTAGGATTTAGCAAATCTCTAGGTCTTTTTCCTGAAATTTAGTAATCCACAGTCAAGATCAGACCAGCAGCAAAGGGTGAAGAGTAAAAGAAAAGAAAACCTTTTTGTTTTGGAGCTTACATAGCCCTTGGTAAAAGGAAAATTGTAGAACTCTTGCAGGATTATGCAAAAATGTTCCAACAAAACTATCACAATAACAACAACAATAGCACAACTAGCTTCTCAATTCACCAAATAAACTCCATCAGCTTTGAGACTTCACTAAAAACAATTGGGCGCTAGTTATTCTATAGACTTACCAATTTTAATTGACAATGCTCCAGCCGCCTGAAAATCATAAGGAGAAATCTGTTAGCAAAATTTAATTTTGGGGAAGAAAAACCACCGAAAATCAACTTAGAGCCATCTAAAGCACGGAGAATGTAAGAGATTTAATCTTCTGAAGTGCAGCTCAACTAAACCAAACTTACAAGAATAGGGTCTTTCTTGTTCTTTAATAAGAATAAAAAAAAAGACACTGATCTTGTATGTTTCTGGGAAAGATCCATTAACTGACCAAACTTAGCATAACAAGGAGATGCACAAACCTGAAAACTATGTGAAATATGAAGAATCAGTACATCTGCAACTTCCAAAAATTGACCGACAGAAATTCATTCGAAAAACCGAACAACTTTCAAAACCATAAACTACACCATTCAATTATCTTTTCAAACACATCGTGAAATCACAATTAACTTGAGCCCCAAGACAAAAAAGCGCAAACTCTTTTGCAGGCATAGCCAGCAATGACCAGATATTGAACCCATCCGTTCTTCCATATCTCATAGGCAATGCACCAAACTCCGATAGACAGTTAAACTGTATTAAGCGAGAGGCACATCGATCAGAAACCGAAATCCAATCTCGTCGTCGAAAGATAAACTACACATGCAAAAGCGTAGCTTCCTGCATGACTTATGAACCATCTTCAAGCACATTGAACAGATAGAGCCTCTCCCCAAAGTCAAACATCACTTCCAGCGACCTCAATGAATTCCCCATACCGCAATTCCGAGCAAAATCAAGTCCTAGCAAAGAATCCCGAACCCTCCCCCGAAAGTTCTCACACCGAACAAAATCAGGGCACCCAAAATTCGCTTCCCCCACTCTTTGCATGCTCAGGAAAAACTACCGGTACCCAACAGCCCCCCATCCTCTCCGCACGGCGCACGAGAAGCTAACTAAACAAAGACCCAAGGACGCACCATTTCCTGGGCGAGCGGGTTCACGCCGGTGAGCCTGCACTGGGCGACGACGATGCTCCGGAGCCGGTCGATTTGGCCGTGGAAGAGCGCGCTCTGGGACTCCAGGGACCGCCGGAGCGACTCCGGCGAGCCCCCGATCTCCTCCTGTTCCGACGGCGGGTCCTCCCCCCTCAAGACCTCCATGCGAAGAAGCGCCCGATGCGGAAGGCTCGCGGGTCGTCGGCGGCGGCGGCGGCGTCGATCGACGCGGCTCGCGCATTAGCGGTTCGAGCGCCCCGGGGGGAGGGGGAATCGGAAGGGACGAGCGCGAGCACGAGCGCGAGGGCGCGATTCAGTGGAGCTTTGGGGGACGACGATGGCCCGTACGAATTAGGGTTTGGGGAGAGAGAGAGAGAGAAGGTGGGGGATCACGGCCGTAGGTGAAGAGAGGCTTACCAAAACTCTTTTGCTTGCGGTATGTAAAAGCGTCATCGTCCCCCCGGGAAAAACGTGAAAACGCTGGGCGATGATGCTATGGTAAAAGAGAAAGTCACCAATTAAAAAAAAAATTCTCAAATTATTTGCCTCCTAAGCCCCCCCTTTTTTTTTTTTTGGTCGCCGTGAATTACAAACTTATATCTGTGTGATATGTTCACCTCGAATTTATACCCGGGTGACATATTTTACCTTCTATTAAAATTTCCATTAGCGAGCACTGCTGAAAATTTTATGTGGCTGCATACGTGAATGACGGGAAGCAAACGGTGCTGATGTGGCGCTCGCGTGGCAAAAATATGTCGACTCGTTGTGTGTTCCTCATTTCTCGGTTTTCTTGTTTTTTCCTTAAGTTCCCCGTTCGTTTTCTTACTTGGTTTGGCGACGGCGAGGGCGATGTAAAGACGAAGGAGGAAGGAAACAAAATATATTACGCGAGTCAAAGTTTAAGATATTTGATGTTACAAAAAATTTTGAAGTAAATGTGTCACATGAATACAATTTTAAGATTTTCTACGTCTATTTTTTTTTGTCAATAAGGGTTTTCTATGTCATAAAAAAATATTGAGGTAAATGTCATTGTGTCAAACAGGTGTAAATTTAGCATAAATGCGTTACGGTGAATATAGTTTAGAGTTTGATGGCTTTACAGTGTCTTTTTATTACTTTTATCTATATATGATTCTATGGTAAAAAAGAATATTATATTTTACAATGTCAAACTGATTTTCTCTATATAAAGATCTATTTTCTATCGATCTCTTTAAGTCGACGGCACCATTTATCTCACTTTTTACATTTTGAATTTACCTTTGCTATATAAACTTATACATTGAATAACCCTCACACTGTCTTCACGTGCATATATAACCACTCTATCGTTTTGTTTTTCATAAATATTAACATGATTCGGGGACACTGTCGTCGTTATATAAATTTTTATTCTACACTTTTTTATACGACAATTTTCCATCTTCACGCTAAAATGATATCACTAAATAAATCTAGTAGATAAAATTCACGGTATCATCTCAAAAGCAGTTGCGCACACAATTGCACGCGAATAACGCGAGCATGAAAACTAATATTTAATTGCAAATCGTCGTAAAATTACATTAAGGATTAATTGTACCCATAGAAATTTAGTAGTCATGGATTCTTATTTTCACTCCAACCTAAAGTCCACCCAATATAAACATGAATATTTTTTATTGGCATAACATGTTTGATGATTTGACAAATTTAGCTCGTTATTATAGCAATTTAATTTTGGATAGACTTATCACACGTAAAAATTTAGAATTTTGTTAAGTTAGACAAGCAAAAGCCAATGATTTACTTGAAAATTTGGTAACTTTCAAGCAAACAAATTAGCTTAAAATTAAGAAGTAATTTAATTTGAGAAAAGTCGGTGAATGAGATGATAATTTTATTTAAAGTTAATAAATCCAAGATGACGGTAAGACGAACAAATAAAATTTGGTCATTTGCAGGAAAAGTTAGTAATTTTCATACCATGAATGAGAATTGGTAACTTTATGTAAGAGGTGATAATTCTATTTGACTGTTGCCTCGGTCACTGTGCGCTGCAACAGAATCGACAACTTTTCCTGAGATTAAGAAATGCCCCACCGGTACTTTAAGAACCTGACCAAGGCGGCTAACCGTCGGTTGCCTCCTCCGGTTCCGCTGTTTATCCATGAATCCTCTGTCTGCTTTCGGCTGGCTCCCGGTGGAAGAGGATGGTGCAGGCTTAGTGATTGAGAACCGGATCTTACCGGGAACATTGAATCTCTCAAACTGAATGATGCCCCCGCCCCGTGATGTCGGATCTAGAGCAATCGTTCCCGGATTATACGCACTGATCCAGGAGCAACTGGATCAAATGGTCATCCTCTAACCAGGCCATTACACATGCTCTACGTGCCTTCAAAAATTAATTCACCTTCAAAAGATTGCAGATTATAAAGGCCACCAAACAATCCTACATGTTAACGCTTGGTGAAAGGACAATGCTCTCCAGTAACTTGATTCAGGTGGCATACTGTAAATTTTTATCAAATGGGCATCTCATGAAAGCATCGCTAATAAGAAAAGGAAACTTACAACTCACAGGATTATAGTAAAGGCCAAAGGACACTCTTTTTTTATTGGAAAAAAGGTGGGAAGGGACGACTAGCGCCAGCAACTCCCTTTGGGTGTTATTATAAGGATAACACACCAGGTACGGAATGCTCGCTTTGAGCCATAATTGCTCTACAACACCCGAGACCCAAAGGTCTAGCCCATTCCACAATCCCACCAAGATGCTAGCAATCAGAAAGTCTCTCAATTCAAGGTATGCTACAACTAGGCAACGCAACACAAGTAGTTTAGAGGTTCGCTCATGACGGAGGACACTCTAGTATGCTTGAAACGTGAAATTATGGTTCTTACATACCGAATAAAAGCAAACTTAGAAAGTAAATGCAATTTAAACTGCCTTAAGCAAATTTTTGAAAAGCAGATGAATATGGCCAGAAACACCACCTACTACCAGCTTAAATACAAACTCGAACCACCGGACAGATCCTTTTAAAGCAACATAAGGAAGAATTTTCAAGATTTAAAAGAAATGCAGCACTGCAGAACAGTGGTCCATAAATTGAGAGGAAGCGTAAATAATTAAGAAGAGTAACTAGACCCCAAAAGCTAGAAGCCCAACAGTAGAATGGGGATACGAAAACAAGATAGTTAAGATTCTTGAATGAGTTTAGCACTTACCCATAATATGAACCGATAATCCACTGTACATCATGGTTTCCCTTAACTTATTTTGAAGAACCTTCAAACTGATCCCTCAGCAACTCGTACTTCTTAAGCTCGGCCATGGAGAGGGAAGGGGAGAGTTCTCCCAAGACCTGCCAAGGTAGAACCGAATTCAGGCATATACACTTCAGGAAAGCATATTCTTGTCATTTGCTGCTCTCATGCATGATAATGAATTTGAACACCAGATAAGAAGCAAAAATAGTTATGACTTGAAATTTCTGTTCAGGAAGAGGCACCACCTGCCATGCATATCAATGACTAGTGAATAGTGAATTTCATAATATTAAACTACCAAATACTCAAGATCATGTTGATAAAAGCGAAATTTTTCAATGGAAGGGCTTAAACCAGGGTCTTGGGAAGCATCGCCATTACTGTGGAAGTGGCAAATTATTCTCTTTCGACATGATCCCAAAAAAAGAAAACTTCAATTCATTGAACTTTGGTCTTACTTTTTCAAGGGAATGTCATACCATCACAATTATTGGCTTCCAAGCTAAAGTCATTCATGTTCAGATTTCTTTAGTTTATATAGGATTAATTGATAGATAGATTTTTTACCTAATGAAACTATGGATAACTTTGCCACATCAGATATAATCAAATGGGTGCAAACAAGACAACTACTCCTGGAGTACAGTTGGCCAAAGATCTCAAGACCTAGGGTAGAACACGGTACACTCCTCCTGTCTCGGACAAAATTGCAGGGATAACCCTATGTTGGGAAAATTTACTTGGACACCCCGTGTCAGAGTTATTTTATGGAGCCACCAAATTTCTCTGACTGATGTCACATTCAGAGGTTGTTGCAGTACCCTAGAATTCATAATCCTAGGTCCTCCCTTTCTCTTTTGTCTGAGAAAACCCTCTTCTCCTTTTGCAGCTGAAAAGGAGCCTGCTACATTCTCTTTTGCCAAGGTATCGAGATTCAACGTTAGCGAACATTACGCATTGAAATAATAGAAAACCATAACAGCTTATGTTTCCTCTTTAATCTCAGAATATGTTTCTGAACATTTTGCATGTTCAATATAAGCTTAAGTTTGTTTTTTCGTGGATACCAGCTTAAGTTGAGCTGCTCAGTCCTGTAGCCGTTAAAATCTTTCAGAGCAGTCAAATAAATCATTTACTTTGAAAGGGACTTCCTGTTATCATTCCTAAAGAGTTGGTCAATCAAAGTTTCTATTTCATTTTTCATCACTAAATCCCCATTTTTGTCTTCTTCAAGCCAAATTTGAGGGGCATCAGGCACCATATTTTTTATGGCTTCGAACCCCCTTCATCTTATTCTTTTTATGTGAGTCCCTGAATTAAGCCCTGTAGAACAGTGGAATTTTTTTATTGTAGACAAACCCCTACAAACAAAAAAAGTGATCAGATAGAATACTAATGTTTTCCTATATTTTGATTATTAAAGGGTCAAAGAGTTATTACCTCTACAAAATCTTCATATCCAACCACAACAGAGTCGGCTGCAAGGTCCTTGGAAGAAGAATCTACGTCTGAACTCAAAACCTGCACACAAACCATTATAAGAAGCATAAACATGCACCAAGAAGCCAATGTCAAAAATAAAAAGTAAGTAAATTATCTAAAAACTTTACATCAGTGTTACGGAAGACACAACACACCTTGCTCTTTGCAGCATGAAACCAAGCATCTGCACACAGGGCATACATGTCTGCACCAGTAAAATTTGGTGGACATTTCTTTGCTATGGAGTATAGAGATACATCTTCATGCAATTTAAACTTCCTTGTGAGTGCTTTCAGGACCCTGGAAAAGGTCGTACAGAAACTGTAAAATCCCCAGGGAACTATACAACGAGTGCAAACAGAAAGTGGCTTCCACAAATGGCAAATGCAAAGATAAAATTCACCGTTCACGATAAGATGCATCAGTGTTGACCCCAACATAGAGTAATTTGTCAAATCGACCTGGCCTTAGAAGTGCTGGATCAATAAGATCTGGTCTGTTGCTAGCCCCAATTATAAACAAATCCTGACATGCCAAAAGAATGTAAGGGTAAATGTACTCTGCTGAGCTAGCAGAAACCTTGAGAAAGTTAAATTGGGAAAGATAATTGGAGGAGAAAGTATAAGCATCTTCACTGTAAATAACCTGCGTGTCATCATTTAATCCGTCGATTTCCGCAAGCATCTACAATAAGGAGATACCCGTGTTAATTCAATAACTCAGAGTGGAACATAACTATAAGCTAACATGAACAGGTTTCTCTCTTCACCTGAGAAACAACTCTATCCATTACGCCACCAGAATCTCCAGAAGCACCACGAGCTGGAGCCAGAGAATCAAGTTCATCAAAGAAGATAACACAAGGACGAGCAGATCTTGCCTGCATAACATGTGAAGCATCTCAATATTAACTTTGGAGCGAGAAAAATTATCAAGAATAACCTCAATTGAACATTTAAAAAAATCTTAAGAGGAATATTGAAAATAAAGCAAAAATTTCACCTTCTGGAAAATATCTCGGACATTTTTCTCTGACTCTCCAATGTACATATTAATAAGCTCAGGTCCTTTTACACTAAGGAAGTTCAGGGAACACTCTGTTGCCACAGCCTTTGCTAACAAGGTCTGGAATTTGGAAAGAAATCAACAGATAACCATGCATACCTTGTCCATCTATTAACAAAAACCTATATGAACAAAATGAAAGCAGATTTCTGGACAATGCCGGCAAACTGAAATATGACTTCAGAACTCACTTTTCCGGTTCCAGGAGGACCATATAGAAGAACACCAGATCGCTTGCGCAATCCCGAAGAAAACAAATCCTTGTGGAGTAAAGGCAACTGCATTTTGACAATACCTCAGTGAGTATAAAACTTTTGATTGGATCTGTACTGGTTTTACTTTTCCTTATTTGTTTCATACAGGTTTACTTTCAAACTTCTGTGCTAATTGAAACTTCCACCCAAAAATGAGAATAAAAAGAGTACAAGGAACATGCAAAATCTACCCAAAAAAGGAAAAATGATGGAAATGACTAGCATCAAACAATACAAGCGACCAGCTGTCAGAGTGATAACTTGATTTTCTCATTGGCACATATATAAACCACAATTTGTTGCTTACACAGCATACAACCCCACCCCTGGACTTTCTCATTGACATCACTGTAAATAAAGCCTTTGAATATACATCTTCAACAAAAAACTAGTTCCTTAGACACTTCAGTTGAATTCTTGTACAAACCGCAAAAGGTGTTAAATTCCTGGATATAAACATAATGTCATGTTTAAACCAGCTATTCTTGTGTAACTAAAATAAATTGTCCAAGAGATGGCATATTAAGCAGATAAACAGGGTAAATATGAAAGCAGATGCTGAGGACAAGATGAGAAAATATGGCAGAGATGACTTCTTTTTATCAGAGTCGACCAAGGTATATATTGATCTTGAGGGTGGCGTTATGCATGATCAGCCAAAAACTTCAGTGGCTAGAACAATTTCATATCTTGCAGCGTGTCTTGCAGAAAGCCTACTTCCAGAACTAAATTTTCATTGTTTATGCATTCTTCATTGTTTCTTTCATCTCAGTTTAGATCAAGGATAACTTGTGGTCAAACAAAACCTGCTATATGTGTAAACCCCACCAATGTGAAAAAAAACCGATGCATAAACCACACCAATGTATAAACCTGCTAAATATTTCTGTGGATGCTCTTCAGTAAGTGTAGTCATGGAAGTCAATGATATGGAACAATAGGCATTTTCCCTTTAAAAGGAACAGGGATAGGCCTGATTTATCAACTAGAACTGATGACAGATATCAGAAAATAAGATCCCACCTGAACAGTATCCAAAATTGATTTTTTTACGTCCTCAAGACCTCCGACATCTTCCCACTTCACATTAGGAACCTGTGACAAAAGCTCGAGTTAGGGTGCATCTTCAAGTAATAGAAGATATGATTGATGTTATTGTTGCTCAGTCGACTTACTTTAGGAGTGCCCAAAGCCACTGCATTCCTCTTCTTTGACCGTTCCAAGGCTTTAGCCATATCATCTTTCCTGAGAACCTGATCTACAGCCTCTTTTACATCATTTTCCGGCACAGTTTTGTCTTCTGCAGATTTGTTATGAAAATCCCCAGAATCAACTTCATTTTTATGCAAAATGCTCCCTGGTATCATGTTTGCGCCAGCATCAGCAATTAAAGCGTTCAGGTCCCTGGGAATAAAGCCAGATGTCTGTCCGACTATATCTCTTACAAAATCTTCTGGACTACTCTGCAAGAAGCAATCTGAATGGTCAAAGTCAACAATCATATGGAATGAGCTATACTAATGTAAAGCAAAAAGATATATTGAAAATAGGCCCATCTTTCCTAAATTCTCAAAATCCTTGCTTGCTATGAAACATATATTTAATTAGAAAATAGAGATTTAAGATAAAAAGGGGCCAGTTAGTGTTGCAGCACCCAAAAACCCTTTCAGAGAATCATTGGAAAGCTAATCGAACGAATAATAATTATAAGAACATGCGCCAGGTGACCTTAACAATTCCAACCATCACCATAGATGATGCCTTATTTCCTGACTTTAAAGGCATTATAGGTGCAATTTAACTCAGAGAGAGAGAGAGAGGAGAGAGAGAGAGAGAGAGAGAGCATATCGCTTCAGAAGTTAGGATATATTTACGTACATTAGGCAGCAGCTCAGAAATGCCCTTCAGTGACTGGCTAAGCATCTCGACCCTTTGTTCCTCAGTTAAAGGACCCATAGTTATCTCATGACTGAAGCAACGTCTAATGGTAGGAGGTAGGCCTTCAGTGCTATCAGCAGTTGCAACTAAGAACACCTTATGTGCATAAGTATTTGCAGACTGCTTCATGAACAAAATGTAGATGCACCAGTTATTAAGAAATTCTGAGCAATTCATGGCACAAACATTGGAGATATACCAAAAGAACACCCATAATCAAAATTTAAAATCATCAGGCAATGAAAACCTTCCTCTTGACAAGGACTTCAAGTTTCAGGGTTAGAACCACAGAATCATTTAAGCCCAAGATCCATATTTAATTATCATTGCAAACAATTAACACATTTTCACCATCTATTGGAGCTTAAATGTATTTGTGAGTATAAGAATTCAGAATATACTGAAGCATACTTAGGAAACCATTGGAGGGACTATGGGAGGGTATTTTAGTGACTACACTTCTTTCCTACATGAGCATTTTTCATTATTCTGCTATTTAGGTTAAGCAAAAGTTGTTGATTAGTGTTTGTCTTGTTAGTCTCTTTTTCCTATTCTTGTGTATTCCTCATGGTTTTGAACAGTTTTGTTTAAGTCATTTTATCTGATAAAAACATATTCAGCAAAGTTTTGTTAATATTTATTCCCAACAATTGTACTGCCCCTTCCTCTTTGCTTCTTTGAATTGTAGCGCATCAAAATCCTTAATGAAGGGAAGGTTTTTAAAGAAGAAGAAGACTTATTGTTCCTTGACTAAGGTCATTAAAAGGATATGATACATTTAACAGATTACAAGCAAATAAGTTTTATTCTTCTGCGAAAGAGCTTGATACTTTCTATTCGTACCAAATCACCATTCAAGTTTTCTGAGGCATAAACATCCTCATCTTCATTATCTTGGGTAGTGAATTCCCTTATGACTGATGCAAGTTCAGAAGAGATGCCATTTTGATCATTTGGTAAACCTTCATTAGATCCCAAATTCCGAAAAGCATCAAAGTGGCGGAGGAGAAGTATTGACGGTGAATATCTACAAAAGGCAGCAAGAGTGACTCAGAGAGGAAAGAAGATCCTTTTTCCCCATAAAATGTGAATAGAACCAGAAATAATAAAATGTCCAAGGAAGAGCACGCCCTTTACTCATTGTTATTGAATGATTCATTTTATGAACCAACATGAAGAAAAAAAAAAACAACTCAAGAAATTACTTCGGTACCTTTGTGCAGTATTAAATGCTTCAGCTAGGGCAATGGATGTTTTTCTCTCAGAGGAAGACATTAGACTGTTACAGCTGAACTCCACTACATGCAGACCCAATCGGCGAGCAACAAACCTAACTATTGTTCTCTTCCCACATCCTGCAAAATCAGTAACTAAAAACCTAAGCAACAAGAAACTCAAAGACAGATAAAATGTCAACAAACAATGCAGTGTTAAGGACATCTAACTTAAAAATTCACTTGCCAATTACATATCATTTTTGGGTTGCATTCACCTGTCAAACCAGACAACAACACAGCCACTCTAAATTTAACAGCAAGCGCTGATGAACACAGAGATGGTGTGAGCACGGAGGCCAAAATCTTCACGGTATCTCCTTGCAAGGGTGCAAATGTTTTTGGGCGGTCACAAAGTAAATCTGGAGGAACGCCAGATGGGACATTCCCTCCAAGAACAAGGGCAGTTTTAGTGCGGTTGACTCGAAGAACAGGGTGGTCTGATGGTTCCATAGCCACCACCTGAAGATCACAAACTGTCAGTGGAGCCAGCCTTCGCATTAAATTTTAAGATCTCTTTCACATATCACATTCAAATCATGGGAACAATGAGAGCATTTACCTTGAAGTAGATGACATCATCATTTGGCAACTTTTGGCTGCAGCGAATGCAAATAAATGAGTTGCAAGTCCATTTAATCTTAATACTGAAAACATCACCTATCGCTAGATGTCTATCTATTTCAAAGTAGTTCTGTAATGCGAGATCAATCATTTCTTGGCGAGCTTCAGCTTCAATTGATGAACTTCCTTTAAGAGATTCAATGGTGCCACATTCTGGTATCTTCACAAAAGAAACCCGCAAGTGTGACGCGTAGTTTGGTAATTGTCCCGGAGGTTGAAGCTCCACGTCAATTACCGGAACTTCACCACCCTGTTCCGACATTCCATTATCAACCCTAGCTCCGAAGAATGATGTTAAAGTGTCTCCTCCGTGGTGAACTAGAGTTCTGAAGCATGATAGGTGCAAACCGAGGTTAAATGCTAAGAAAGGAGACAAGTAGGCTACTTCGCGGTCTGGCAAAGCTGGCTTAGTTGGAGGGAAGCTACACGACGGGAAGATCAACAATTCCTTCTCGCACTGGGAAAAGGGAAGCTTAACTTGATGTGAGTGCTCGGGTGCGGACGGAGGATCAAGAACAACTACTTGAGCCATTCTCGCAGAGTTCGTGTCGAGATTCCTTATATGCACCTAGTCCACAAAATGAAGTATAACTAAGTCAATGACCGGGATCAGAACAATTTCACATGCTTCCAGATGAAGAAGTTGGTAAAAACGTAAAAACAACATTTTTTCCCGGCAGAAAGCACCTCACTTTTCGTGAGGAAGATACTCCATTTGACTTAACAGTCTCTTTTCGTTCGTTCTCTCCTTTAAATTCCTTTGTGCCGAAAGGAAATCACAAGCAACCACCAAACATAGCTTCACAATTCCACAACCAGGACAACCATCCCGTTTTATAGTAAACTGGATACGTCTACTGTCGTGAGCTCATCCAGGCAATCACCAAATTTCCACTGCAAAGAGCCGACAGCTTAAAGTAGCTTCGGGTACTTCACATACACCTGCACCGCCAGTTCGACATATCTATGCTAATGCACACTTGCTAATTCGTGTGTTTAAGGAATCGAAGAAAGACGCTAATGATCATCGACAGCGCAAGAAACCTTCGCGTCTCCCGTCCAACTCGATCGCATCAGTTGCTTAAAACGACTGCCAAGGAAAGCCAATTCCAAAACCCGATCACATCATCTTCCCCGACATGCCTCCACAGTCCACACCTTCAAACACCGATTCTCGATGCTTCGAACTCGCCCTTCTTCTCGAGCGAGAAAAAGAGAAGAAAAAGAAAGAAAGAAGATTCCCGAAACCTTACCAGCGAGCCAGAAGCGATGGACAGTCGCTTCAGAGCGGACGTCGGGAGCCCGACCAAGGCCGCGTCGTCCAGCTTCGCCAGCCTCGGGTCCGTCTCCTGGGCCCTCTCCCCCGCGAGCCGGAGGATTCCGGCGGGCAGCCTCAGCTCCGGCGGGAGCTCGGCCGCCTCGAGGCGGGACGAGGAGGCGAGCACGGAATCGACAAGGGATTTGGTGGAAGAAAGGAGGAGAGGCCTCCTCCTCCGCTCCACCATTTCTTTCTCGGGCACGGAGGAGCGAAGCCGAGCAGCGGCGGAATAACCGTATGTTTCGTCGGAGTTTGGGGGGAGGAGCGAAGTGATCCTTTACCCGCGACTCGAGGATGATGACGGGGGAGCGATTTACGGCTAAGTTGTGTCGGCTGACTCTGAAGCTGCGTGAGCGTTGACTGCTTTTATTAATAAATAGATAAACATAGAAGACATTTTTGTCGCGGTTACACAACACTGTAATTTGATATTTAAATATTCTAATGCGTATCTTTGATATCATGATATGTATTTCGGGTTATGCAATTGAAACGAGAGAGCACTACTTCTCGGACATTGGATTTGTCATTGGGTTTGATGCACCTAGGGGACCGGTGGATCCGTTATGCGACTAGATGAACCGACAGGCTCGAAGTCAACGATCTCGAATTGAGCTCAAATTTGATCGGCTGAAGCGAAACGGCGTGCTGATCAATACTCACTGCTGTTGGCCGTGACTAACGATGGATTTTCGCGATTCGCGATAGTTTAGATGGATTTTTCTATTAATTTAGTATTTTTTATGGGTTAATTTAGTAAAGGGCAGTTTCGTAATTTTGCGTTTTGATATTTATTAATCCTAGTAGGGTTAGGTTTGGGGATATATAAGCTTGTTTTAGGGTTTCGTTTGAGCAGACTTTGGATATTTTGATTTTTAATCGATTGAGAGAACAGTTTGTTCCTCGTTATCGTTTCGATTCTTCTGTTTAGCCTAATTTCTTTCGCGCTTCGGCATCAATTGGTATCAGAGCATAGGTTATCTGAATCAATGGCTGAGGAGAATCGAGGTGGTCAAAGGCAGCGTGCTCGTGGAGGTCGGGGGCGTGGAGTCGTTCCTGATGCAGATGAACAGCCGCGTCTGAGAGACTTGCGAGATATAGAAATTCAGGAACAGAGAAGGCGAATCCAGGATTTAGAGCGACGTCTTGCGGAGGTAGGGCTTGACGCTCAATCCGAAGAAGAAGCAGAATCTGAGGATCCATCCGATGATGAAGAGGAGGACGTAAACCCTTTCGGGGTTCTGAACCAAGGGCGGAATCGAGGAGTACGACCTGGAAATCAGCGCTCTTCTCAAAATTTCGGGATGAAGATCGAGATTCCCGAGTTTAATGGTAAGGCTCATCCTGATGAGTTTATTGATTGGTTATATACGGTAGAACGGATTTTTGATCTTAAAGACCTAGCTGAGGGGCAAAAAGTGAAGTTAGTGGCTATTAGGCTGCGAAAACATGTTTCGATTTGGTAGGAACACGTGAAAAAGCAACGCGCTAGAGAGGGGAAGCCAAAGGTGGATCGCTGGGAGAAGATGAAAAAGTTGTTGCAAAAAAAATATTTGCCTACTCATTATAAGCAAGATGCGTTTATCGAGTATCATAACGTCAAGCAAGGTGATAAAACAATTGAGGAATTTACAGAGGAATTTGATCGCTTGCGGATGCGTTGTGATGTGGCGGAGGAAGACGAGGAGACGATTGCTCGATATCTGGCAGGGCTGCGATATGAGATCTCTGATGTTGTCCAATTACAGTAGTATTGGACATACGAGGATGTGTGCAGACTAGCCCTAAAGGTGGAGGGGCAATTTAAAAGAAAGAGCAGTAAGTCCAAGTGGTCTAGCAGCGATTCTAAGTGGTCAGGCAGCAGTTCCAAGTGGTCAAATAAAGAGTCCTGAGGGAAAGCAGGGAGTTCTTCAGCCACGGCGGTAGTTAAGGGCGTTGGTTCAAAATCTGCAACAAAAGGAGAGCAGGGTAGTGCTGGATCTAGCAGGGGAGGAGCTGCAGGCAAACGATGTTTCAAGTGTCAAGGACTCGGGCATTTTGCTGCTGATTGTCCGAACCGACAGTTTGTGACACTTGTAGATAATCCAACTTTTGATGAAGACCAAACTTATGATGAATCTGATGGAGAGCAAGAAGATGCGGATCCAGATCAGGAGGACATTGTCTATGCCGATTCTGGTGAGTCTTTAGTTGTGCGTCGGATTTTAAATATTGCTGAGGTAGATGATGAATCGTGGCTCAGGCATAATATCTTTCATACTAAGTGCACTAGTGGGGGAAAAGTGTGTAGTATGATAATTGACGGGGGAAGTGGCGAGAATGTGATATCTACCACTATGGTAGAAAAGTTGGGGTTGAAAACTATCGAACATCCTCAACCATATAAGCTGTCATGGCTTAGGAAGGGGAATGAGGTAAAAGTGAGCAAGAGGTGTTTAGTGCGGTTCTCGATTGGGAAGAAATATACTGATGAAGTGTGGGGTGACGTAGTTCCAATGGATGCTTGTCATATTCTGTTAGGAAGACCTTGGCAGTTTGACGGGAAAACACAGCATGACGGATTCAAAAATACGCACACCTTCAAGAAGGATGGTCGAACCATTACTCTAGGTCCTTCAGATTTGAGAAAAGAAGGGAAAAGTAATATGCTTTCCAAATCAGAGTTCAAGGAGGAGGCGGAGAATGCCCCAGAGCTTTTTGCTATTGTAGTCATGGAGCAGAATCTTGATAGTCCAGAAATTTCAACTCAAGTTCTGCCTATACTTGAGGAGTTTGCTGATGTCGTACCAGAGGAATTGCCATCTGGATTGCCACCCATGAGGGACATTCAGCATTGTATAGATCTCGTTCCAAGAGCTGCTATTCCTAATAAGGCAGCTTACCGAATGAATCCTAAGGAGCATGAGGAGATGCAGAGGCAAGTGCAAGAATTATTAGAAGAGGGTGCAATTCGAGAGAGCATGAGCCCTTGTGCAGTGCCAGCTTTGTTGGTTCCTAAGAAAGACGGGTCGTGGAGAATGTGCGTGGATAGGAGAGCTGTCAACAGGATCACGATCAGGTATCGCTTTCCTATCCCGAGATTTGATGATTTAATTGATCAGCTGTATGGAGCGACTATCTTTTCGAAGATAGACTTGAGGAGTGGATATCATCAGATTAGGGTGCGTCCTGGAGATGAGTGTAAGACCGCTTTTAAAACTCGAGATGGTCTATATGAGTGGATGGTGATGCCTTTCGGGTTATCTAACGCGCCGAGCACCTTTATGAGACTGATGAATCAGGTGTTTCGTCCTTTTATTGGCCAGTTTGTCGTCGTATATTTCGATGATATTTTGGTTTATAGTGCATCGACTAATCAACACTTGCAGCATTTGAGAAGGGTGTTCGAGACATTGAGGGAGCAGAAATTATATGCTAATACCAAGAAGTGTCACTTCCTGACTGATCGTGTGACCTTTTTGGGATATATAGTAACTAAGGAGGGCATTCAGATGGACCCAGCTAAGGTTGAGGCTATTACAAATTGGGAGATTCCGAAAAATATTCATGAGGCACGTAGCTTTCATGGGCTTGCATCTTTTTATCGGAGATTTGTTCGGGATTTCAGTATTATTATTGCACCTCTGACGGATTGTCTGAAAGGAAGTAAATTTGTGTGGACTAAGGAGGCAGAAGCTGCCTTTCAATTATTAAAGAAGAAGGTGACTGAAGCACCTATTCTCGTGCTTCCTGACTTTAATGAGATTTTTGAGGTGCATTGTGATGCTTTAGGTGTTGGTATTGGGGGTGTCCTAAGTCAAAAATGTAAACCTGTAGCATTCTTTAGTGAGAAGTTGAATGAGGCGAAAAGAAAGTATTCAACTTATGATAAAGAATTTTATGCTATTGTGAGAAGTTTGGAGCATTGGAGGCACTATCTTATTTCGAAAGAGTTTATCTTATTTTCTGATCATGAAGCCTTGAAATACATCAATGGGCAGCACAAATTGAACGCAAGGCATGCGAAGTGGGTGGAGTTCCTTCAAGTTTTTAGTTTTTCCATCAAGCATAAAGCGGGAGTGCTAAATAGTGTGGCAAATGCATTGAGCAGAAAACACTCTTTGGTGTCTACGATGCAGGTAAAAGTTCTAGGCTTTGATACTTTTAAAGATTTATATGTTGATGATCCTCATTTTGGGGATATCTGGAGAAAGAGCAAAACGGAGCTTTTTCAACAATTTCAGATCGTGGAGGGTTACATATTTAAAGGTAACAGATTGTGCATTCCTCAATGTTCTTTGAGGGAATCTATTATTATTGAGGGACATGCACGCGGTTTAGCTAGGCACTTTGGCGTGGATAAGACGAAGGCCTTGTTGAGTGAACATTTTTATTGGCCTCGGATGGAGCGTGACGTGACGCGTTTTATAGAGAGGTGCAGGGTATGTCATGTGGCAAAAACCAAGAGTATTAATGCTGGACTGTATATGCCTCTACCTGTTCCAGTTGCACCGTGGGAGGATGTCAGTCTTGACTTTGTCTTGGGTTTGCCAAGAACGCAGCGGAGTAAGGATTCAATAATGGTGATTGTCGATAGGTTCTCAAAGATGGCCCACTTTGTCCCGTGTAGCAAGTCCTATGATGCTTCACAGGTTGCTCGATTGTTTATGCAGGAGATTGTTAAGCTGCATGGAATTCCTAAGTCCATAACCTCATATCGTGATGTGAAGTTTGTGAGTCACTTCTGGCGCACTCTTTGCAGGTACATGGGCACAAGTTTGAAGTTTAGTTCCCCTCATCATCCTCAGACTGATGGTCAGACAGAAGTTGTCAATCGAAGCTTAGGGAATTTGCTGCAGAGTTTGATTGGAGATAATCCGTGACAATGGGACTTGGCATTGCCTCAGGCATAATTTGCATATAACAGATCTGAGAACCGAACTACAGGCAAGACTCCTTTTGAGACTCCTTTTGAGGTGATTTATGGGCGTAATCTAATTATTCCATTGGATCTCACACCGATACCAGTTCTCAAGCAATTTGGTTCGGAAGCTGAAGAACATGCAAAGCATATCAAAGAGCTGCATTCCCAAGTCCATAATCAGATCAATAGGCAGAACATGAGATATAAGCAGCACGTGGATATACGCAGGAAAAGAGTCGTCTTCAAGGAAGGTGATCTAGTTTGGATTCACCTTAGGAAAGAACGATTTCCAGCCGGTAGGTTTGGCAAGCTTCAACCTAGAGCTGATGGACCCTTCAGAGTTTTGG